AGAGAAAAGACTTTTCTACAATGCTGTCCTCAAAAATGGCACCTAGGAATCCTGGAAGTTCTGTGGTGGATGAGCTGGAAGGGGCAAGAGTCCATGAATTCTAAAAGGAGTTTTAAGATTTTTGTATCATCCTAACTTAAAAAAAAATCAAGATCAACATCAGTAGCTTCCGAATCATGTGGGGATGACTATCTTATAACGAGCTGGTGCCATCTGGCTTCGGGGTTTGAGTTCCTCTTTGTGTTGACAATGTCATTCATGCTGACTGATCAACTCAAATGAGAGAAAATTATTTAACTTAATCTGTTTCTCTACCTAGGCCTGGGCATCCCCTAGGGGTCTGCAGGCCTAGTTGCGCATCTGTGAGTTCTCAATTTTGAGAAATGTTGCTACTACATATGTAAGTATAGGCTTGTACAGAATGAGTGTCACCCTGCCCTTGATGCCGATTCATTTGTGGGCCTCAAAGGTTGAAGGGTAAACCTGTGTCTGAGGGACACAGAGGCCTGCTGCAGAAAGGGGCAGACTCCCACATGAAAACTGGCCAGATAGAGCTACCACACATAAATCAAGAATGGACAAACCTGTCCTGGCAATCCTAACAATAAATCTCAAAGGTACAAGAGAGGCCATCGCCAGACATGCCAGGCACTGCTGCTCTCAAGGAGGGGAATAGTGGAGAAAGCTTGCGAAGGAGAAGTGACCTGGACCTGTCCACACTGTCCCAGTTCCAGCTGCACCTGCAGCATGCAGATTCCCAGGTGTCCAGAATGTGTGTGGTTCCAGGATCCCAACAGCTTAATCTTTGGTTGAAGAATAAGGCATGTGGCACTCAGAATGCCTCCCAGTCCCAGAAGGAGGAGGGTGTTAGCCAGAGCAAGCAGTTCTCACATCCCAACCTCATTAGCACCTCAGTACCACACTAACATGTCCTTTCCTTTTTTTGTCCTTTTTTTGTCCTTTTTTTTTTTTTTGCTGAGTTGGGGCAGGTCTCTACAGAGGAGGTGTGCTGGCCGCCCACCCAGGCAACCAGAGTTTGGGCAACTGGACCCCCCAGGCTGTGGTATAGGACTCTTCCTTGCTGACTGCTAAGGCCTTTCTGGACCAGTTCCTGGGAAAGGGGAGCCTGGGGATTGGCTCCACCTCAAGGAGGGGCTGGGTGGGAGCCAGAGCTTGGCACAAAGCGAATGCTGAATGCCCAGGCTAGCGGGGAAGCAGCAATTAGGTTATGTTAGG